TGATAATGATGTATTTGAACTTGTTATTTGATCAGATAAACTTGAAGTTGAACTAAAATCTGATCTTGATAATAATTCGTCTTCTGATAAAGAATTTGTACGATTATATGATGGAATTTGTTTTATATTATATAAATCATTTGATGAATCTTTTGAAAGAATATTGAATGAATTAGTTGTTGAATTTTGTAAATAAAATATAACTCTATGATTACTTGATAAATATGATGTATTGAGAGTATCATTTAGTTTTTCTAAATGATTCATTATTAGGTTTATGTTTTTTTTTTGTCAAATCTAAAAATAAAATAAATAAAAATATTTTATTTTATGTTAACTTAAAGAAGAATAATCTTGCAAAAAAAAAAACTAATTTTTTTTTGGAAAAAATGTCCTTTTATTTTTGAATAAGGTAGAAAAAAAAAAATAAACATTACGTAAAATATTGCAATTGACTATACATGCAAAACAACATTGGCTTTTTTTATCTTCTTTCGTCTTTTATATAACGTATATAATGTGTGTGCTAATAGTACCCATTTGCCCTACTACCTTCTTTTGCTATTCTTGACATAAGAAGTCGTCCAAAAGTTATTTTGGGTACATTTTCTTATTTCGCTGTTAAATGAAAAACAAAAGACAAAACAAAAACCTTCTTATCTATTGGATATTTTCTTATCAGTCATCATATGATTTATAAATAAATAAATTAAAATGGTAAATTTTCTAGAAAATCAAAATTAATATTGTCGACGTCGATAATTTCTGTTTTTCTTGTTCTGCATGGTATTTCAATGTTATATTATATTTCACATAGAATTTTTCTCTTGACTGAAGGGAGGGTCATATGAAAAAGAATAGTTTGCTTGCTTGTCGCAGGTCAAAAGAACATCAGAGTAATTTTTTAAAAATGATTCATTATTAGGTTTATGCTTTTCTTTCGAATCAAAAAAAAAATAAATAAAAATATTTTATTTTATGTTAACTTAAAGAAGAACAATCTTGCAAAAAAAAAACTAAATTTTTTTTGATAAAATATTCTTTTATTTTAGAATAAGGTAGTAAAAAAAGAAATAAACATTATGTAAAATATTGCAATTGACTATACATGCAAAACAACATTGGCTTTTTTAATCTTCTCTCGTCTTTTATATAACGTATATAATGTGTCTGCTAATAGTACCCATTTGCCCTACTACTTTTTTTTTATTATTCATCTCATAAGAATTCGTCCAAAGGTTAGTTTGGGTACTTTCTCCTATTTCGCTGTTAAATGAAAAACAAAAGATAAAAAAAAACCTTCCTATCTATTGGATATTTTCTTATCAGTCGTCATATGATTTATAAATAAATAAATTAAAATGCTAAACCTTCCAGAAAATCAAAATTAATATTGTCGATCCCGATAATTTGTGTTTTTCTTGTTCTACATGGTATTTCAATGTTATATTATATTCTACATAGGTTTTTTGAGAATATCAAACATATAGAAAAAGAAAGTTTGTTTTTTCTCACTAAATTTATTTAGTCATATTTTCATTTCAAATAATCTTTTAAGATACAATATTAAGATAAAAGGATATGAATTATAATCCAAGGATAAGATGTATGAGATTTTCTTTATAACACAAACAGAAATAATTATTTATAATAAGTACTCAAACTTTGCATTCATTGCAATAAATATTAGCAATCGTCTTAGAAATATCTTTCCATGTCGTCAAAATCGCCTAAGTTTTAACGATTAATCGTTAGTATTCTGAAAAATCGCGATTGATCGGCTATTTTTTTATATTAGTGATATAATGTGATTAAATCGATGATTTATTCAACTTAAAATTTTTTGACTCAAGGTACGAAACTATAGCAATTCTCAATAATTTCTGACCTGAAAACTAATTTAAGAGTATATGTAGCATGCTATACTAGAGAAGTTTGGAACTTCTCCAAGATTAGTATGTTCAACCATCTGTCATACCAGTCTCATTCTTTATTGATTGATAAGTTCTGGCCAATGGGACAAAATGGCGACGCTTCTTTGTTTTATATCTCATGTCGATTTTTTATCAAAACCGACAGTTAGATTCGGTTTTCCTTCATTTATCGTTTTTTTTACTAATTTATTATTAAATTAATATTTTTAGTCTTGACAAAGTCGATCCAACTTTAAAAAATCGACTTAACCCTAGTACTACCAAGCCTATTTTAGGCATGACACGATAATACATTTTTATTGTGTGATTTTTTCGTCATGAAACCGATATGTTTATCCAAGTTACACTATTTTCTATTCGGTTAGAGGATAAAATGATTGAGAAGAGTGTTATGTATTTATTTCGAACAAGTGATACAAAAAAGTCGTTTCACACAGTGCTCGTTACAGATGGGTTCGAAACATTTATAACACTTGTTCAGAGTCTTTCTGTCTTTGGTACGATCACAAAGCGAACATCGTTCTCTTTTTAAGTCCGTGGAGGTTTCATTTAATTCTTGTGATGCTTTCTCCATCTTAGGATAACCCATAACGACTATTGCACTTCGAACATCTTTGTGCAAGAAATTTGAAGTTTGTGAACAAACATCAAGAAGATGAGCCACTAAACTTATTTCTAATGCTTCAAGAAATAAGCGACGTTTATATTTTTTATTCTTGTTCCAATCTGGATTCTTTTTCTTCCATATGATCAGAACATTTAGAGCAGCGATGTCTAACGTAGGATATCTTTGGTCAGAATTCGAGTATTTCCTGAAAGGATTCGCTCCAGAAAACTTTCCAAAATAGTCTAACAACTTTCCAAGTAGAACTCGACGAGCTCTATCGAATGGACACATTTGGAGCTCAATTTGATAAACCCTTCCCTTTAGAAACGGTCAATCACAGGTTCGATCCGTAGATTTTTCCTAAGACCTGAAGAGACTCGCCCAGGAGTACTTTCTAAGTCCAACATATAACTTCCCGACTGGATCTAAATGAGATCTATTGAATGGGCATCATTCGAGCTTGATTTGATGCTTCCCCTTTCCAGAGAAACGTCTAATCCAGAGCCCAATTATTTAGTTTTTCAATAAAACCCGAACCGATTCGTCCAGAAGTGCTTTCCAACAGAGATATATAACTTTCCAAATAGACCTCAACGAGATCTATCGAATGGACACCCTTGGAACTTGATTCAATGCTCCTCTTCCCAGAAAAATGTTTAAGCCAGGGTCCAATTTTCCAGTTTTTAATAAAAGCCGTAAGGATTCACCGAGAAATACATTCAAACTGGGACATATGACCTTTTAAACAGATCTAAATGAAATGTATCGAATGGGCAGCTTTTTAGTACAACTAGATGCTCCTGAGGAAAGGAAATCAGTAAAAACTAGCCGAAATCCTAAGTTGTTCCGTAAAACTTGTCAGGATTCGCCTAGCAGGACTTCCTAACGTTCTCGTAGAACTTCTGAATTAGAGCCCAACGTGCTCTATCGATTGGACAGTTTCCGAGCTCAATTTGATGCCTCTGTCTTTTGAAAACCTGTTATTTCCTGTGAGAAATTAGCTTTTTCGTGGCAGAACCTCTCACGATTCACTCCATCCTTGGTTCAAACTACACGATTGATGGTTCGAGTGCGAACTCGAAGAATTTAATCAAAGGGATACCCGGGTAGATGTCCTAAGGGTTGATGGCGTACGTAGTTGCCTCCTGACCATATGTTTTATGCCTCGCAAAATATACAATCAATAGAATGAGCACATGCCGGTCACTCAACAGCTGTAATAGAATGGACTGAAGGGTTTTAACTCGAGGAGAACTATGAAACGAGAGGGGAAAGAATTTATCGTACACGATATAAAGAGTAGGAAAAGAAAATTGATTCATCATGCGGGATAAGACAACGAGAAGAAAAATAACTCACCGCGCAGCATCTTATTTCGAAGCGAAGAAAAAGTTTCATTGGATGATTTCTGTAACCGAATTCAATGCTTATTTATTTTTTCTCTGCATGAATTAGGAGAAAACAAAAGAAACTACGCGAATCTGGAGGCATCCACGTCGATTTCCTGAAGTATCTTGATTAGCTATGCAAAAAGTAGCATTTTGCTTTCGGGGAGGGCGGCGGGTGCCCGAATCGGATGAACGAGCCGTCTGTTTGAAAGAGATTGCTGATATTTCTCTGTACAGTTTTGTCACCCGCTGTAAGAGTGATTCTCAGCCAAGCACACTGGCTTCAATGTGAAAAATTTACTAAGTAGGCGGAAATTACTGGATCACGGTGGCACCGAATACACGAATCAGATCAGAGAAGAGTCTCTTACATAGAGCTCGTCGAGTTCTATCAGCAACAAATCAACCATGTAGTGGGAACCAATGATTGGGCGGATTGTGACAGGCTCTTTCCACGAAAAACTGAATTTGTGACTTCGAATCGAGCGTTTCCAAAAGCCAACCGTATTGGACTCGGCTAAAAAGGCCCTCCATCAGTAGAGCTGATCACGATCTACTTCAAAACTTTCATCTAGTTGTTGGAAAGTGCTTTCGAACGAATCCTATAAGGTTTTACATAAAAGCCTAGGATGCTCCGAGTTTTTTTGCAGATTTTCTTGACTCAGCATCATCTGATTCTGTTTAAAAGGTATCCAATCGGTAGAGCGCGTCAGATTCCATTGAGACGAAATGAATCAAAAAGAGTCAATGATAGAGTAGAGATTAAATTTTGATAAACGATAATTTCTTATGTTAATTCTGGATATCATATTTCTTTTCCTTGTTGTTCAATTATTAATGGTCAAAACCTCTAAATACAAGGAACGTTTTTTATTGTTTCGTCAGTCTTATTAAAAAAATTATTTTTCTCAATATGGAACCAAAACATAATTACACAATATTTTAACAATCTTAATAAATTATTTTTTTCTAGTCAATTATATTGTGTGAAACGAAAAAAGAAAATATTTATTATATTCACGGCTGCATGAAACATTAACAGATTTTTTAATGAAATCTCAAAATTGAGATTTTTTTGTTTTTGAGAAACCTACTTTTAAAAATTAGAGAGGCATTTTTTCCAGGTAATCCCATGTGATTCTATTCAATTATACATAAAAAAAGGAAAAAAATGGTGGAGAAATTTTGCGTTTCTTGCAGCTTACAAAAAAGAATACATTGAAAGACTTGTCTCTTCGAAGTAGAATTTCTTTTTTATGATTGACTCACTCAAATTGAAATCATTATTTGAAGATGACAGTTCAATAAAACTATTGCAATGGCCATAGTACTTATGAA